AGCTAGTAGCCATATCTACCTTGGTAGGCACTACTCCGGTTCGCTCTTCTATTGCTGTAGCTACTACTTGAGCTGTAGTAGAGGAGAGAGTTGATATAATTGCTCCTTTCTCATTGATTTCGACAGTTTCAGTGCTTCTAGGGATCCCTGATAAGCAGAACACTGCCCAGTCTTGGGAGGTCTCTATTTTAGCTGTAGAGAACAGGGTTTGGATAAATGCTCTCTTTGTTGATAAAAGAGTATCCAGGGCTGCTTTGTTTTNATCCCTGATAGGCGGAACACTGCCCAGTCTTGGGAGGTCTCTATTTTAGCTGTAGAGAACAGGGTTTGGATAAATGCTCTCTTTGTTGATAAAAGAGTATCCAGGGCTGCTTTGTTTTTAGGTACAATGGCAAATCCAGTATTAACTGTAAGTACCTCTTGTACAAGCTCTTTACAGCCTATTTTTGGGTCCCAGAGGGCAAGAAAGATGGCTAGAGCAGAGTGTTCCCTCTCAGGAGAGTCGAGGGGAAGTCGGATAAAGACCCTGAGGTCAGATTTGGTAGAGGGNAGGGCTGCTTTGTTTTTAGGTACAATGGCAAATCCAGTATTAACTGTAAGTACCTCTTGTACAAGCTCTTTACAGCCTATTTTTGGGTCGCAGAGGGCAAGAAAGATGGCTAGAGCAGAGTGTTCCCTCTCAGGAGAGTCGAGGGGAAGTCGGATAAAGACCCTGAGGTCAGATTTGGTAGAGGGACCCTTATTCTTTCGAGGCTTTGAGGTAACAGGAGGCAGAGGAGAGGTTGTGTTGTTGGTGCTATATTTTCAGGCACTAAGGCATCCATTACAGTCCGTGCGTAGGAGAATTTTCCAGCAGGAGCTAGAGGGGGGGAGGGAGTCGGAGAGGGCGCAGGGCCGCCACCATGCGTGGCAGAGGGGGCTCCTAGGGCCAAGGGTAGTGGGGAGGGCTCCTCTGAGGTATATGCTCTGTGGAAGGCCAGGCTAAGGTCAGCGATCTGCATACAGAAGGCCCTGAGGTAGGGCAAGAGGTCCGGGGGGGCTCTATCAAGGGCAGTGCTCAAGTGGTGGTCTACTGCTTCTGCGGTGCCTCCAAAGAAGATTCGGCCTGTTGTACCACGTTCTAGGGCTTTAGCAGTTGCTGAGATGAAGTGTTGCTGTATATTTGGGAGGGGGGGGATTGGGCGTCCTCCCCCCCTTCCCAGGCCCCTTCTCAGGGGCGTAGGCGAGGCCGGAGGTCTCCTTGGAGGAGTCTCCATGGAAGGAATTTAGCTTATTAAGCGAGAGTAAGAGAGATTGAGCGTTTTAGAACAAAAAATTCAATCTACGAAAAAAGGTGATGGTTGCCTAATTTTCATGTAAGAAGGCTAATAAAGATACTTCTGCGCCGCTGTCGAAAGCACATCCTACTGGGTTACGATACAATTTTTCAGTTCAGGTGTTAGCTAGATTTCCTGCAGTGGCGTCTTGTAATGAAAAGACTCATCCTTTTGAGATCATTTAACCCCATTTATTCCTTCGATGCACGAAGAGAACAGAAGTCGAAGTTGCTAATCATATCATTTTCTAGCCATGGCGCTTTTCAAATTCTTGTAAAACCGCGAAGTTTGTTGATTATTTGGAGTTTCGGTTGGGTCGAAGTATGTTGCTTGAGAAATGAAATCTGTGGCTAGGAACGTGGTAAAACAGGAACTTTGATTGGCGTAGATGCGGCAATGTTGTTGAATGATTGAAGTAACTTGACTTTTCGCAGTACGTTGCTTCTCAGAGTTGCAAAGAACCAGAAATACATCCGCAGCACTTGATATCCGAAGGACGGTGTGTCGGCTCCGAAACCAGTGGGAAGTTGCAAATCGTGGAGCGCGACTTCCTTCCCTATGCGGCCTCCGGATTATCTGACTCTCAACGCTGCTTCTTTATCCAATATTGAACATCAACAAACACATATTGTACAATTTGGTTACAGAAAACATCATAAAAACAACATGTCTTCATCATCGGAGCGTCATCCAACGCTCAATATCTTGGTCCCCCACGCACCAATTCACCGCTACAGCAAACGGCTTCTAGAGCACTTTAGTACCGGAAAGAAGTCACCAGATGAAGCCTTCGATACCCGAACACACGAACCAGAGCAATCGTCCCCTTCTCCTGAACAGCTTGTCGCCGACTTTGTACACCGGCTTCCCTTGCCAATATTACTACTTCTCTATCCTACCATCCTCGTCATTCGTGTTTTACCTACCCGATTTATCTTGACAAACGGACACTCTATTATTCTGAAGTCTAGACAATGGTTTTTGTCAAAGTGTCCCCCTAATCCTGGCACCAAGTAAGTCCATCCTCCCTCTCGCTTATTCCGTATACACCTGACAAGGCTTGCACTTGTACAATGATTCTAGAGGTATTCAATACATACTGCCAATTTTTAAGGGACTTTACAACACCACAAGTTGATCACTTTCAAATTCGCTGGTGCAATGGAAGTCAGTGTGGTTGAAGCTGACTTGAGTATTTAGGAAGAATCACCCAGTGACTCAAGACGATGTTGCAGATGCCATTTTAAAACTATCTTCCACTCTCCGTGACTTCTCTAAATCCGCTCGGGGACGCCAATTCCATGAAATCCTGACCCAGAGTAGCATCCTTTGCGAGAATATGAAGACCCTGATGCGAGAAGAAAAGGAGCATACAAAATGGAAATTGAAGCAACACGAGGACATTGATAAACGTATTCAGCCCCTGAGAAGTGCTGTGCAAGAGGTCAAGAAGGGCATTCGGGAACTAACACCAGAATACGAACAAGACCATATTTTCTCGACAACAGAGCTAGCGCTATGGATTGATAAGTTACAGGACGCTCAAGAGGAATTTGAGAAAGACATGGGAATTAAGTACAAGCTTTTGGGGGACCGAATCTATGCGGTACAAGCAGAGGTAGACTTTCTCTTAGGCCTAAAGATTCCAAACTCAAAGGGGACCGTAAAAAAGTCTTATCGGTTTGAGAGCGCTCGAAAAGGTTCCAGCTATGCTTCGGAAGATGGATCCCTCGACATTTGCGGAACTCAAGGATTTTCCAAGAAGGAAGATGAAGAAATACCGCTTCCCGATTCTCCACCAGCACAAAGTGTCATTCCGGATGGTGTTGTTATCCCATATTTCCCTACTCCGGAGAATACAATTGGAAGGGTACCTCTATCGCAACCTCCTCAGTGAGTCAATGTCGTGACTTTAAGGTAGAAACGAATCATGTTGGGCAATAATGCTGACATTCGTGTTCAGGCATCGCGGAAGATCTCGAACATCAAAAGGCTCCAGCCGATCTTCTTCACTTACAGCATACCAACGACACTCAGGCAAACCATATTCAAAAAGATCGTCAATCAGCCCTCGTTCGTCACTACTGCGTTCAAAACTTGAGGCAGAAGACAAGGATAAAGCTGTGAAAATCGCCAAAGATCGGCCCGCTCCCGCGTCACCTACTGCTTGTTCTGAGGTAGAATTAAACGCAAATACTGAGAATTACAACAATGAAGAGTTGAATAACAATGGTGCAGCTCTGGAGCTTTCTCAAGCACTCGAGGAGATTGTAAATGAGATCGATGAACGCAGTAAGTTTTCTTATTACTTTGATTTGAAAGTGAGGTATTGACTTGTGAATCTGAATCCCAGAAAGGCAGCGAGAAGAGCTTCCAGATGGTCACATCGACAATGACCAGAACGGTCAAAGTTGCTCAACCTCCCTTGATGGTGAAACACTTGTCGGGGATGAGAATTAGTTTGAGCGATTTGTTGAAATTCCTTTTCGTCTTTATCATGTTCGTTTTAAATGGGGGAAAATGAAGATGAGGATGATTCCTGCTCACAGCTATGCAAGGAACCAAGGTCCACATTGAAGTATTAACGCGAAAGTTCTTATGCTACTAACAGTGTTACCGCTATCAATCATTGTTTATTCTGTATTAGAGGGAAAAAGGAATGAACTAGGTAGAGAGTAGTATTCACATGTTTGCTGTCCTCCAAGTTCTAATAGATAAAACTTTCCTTGAGAGAAGTGATTAAAGTACGGCAGTCCGGCTCGGACTGTTCGACTGGCCAGCTATTCACTGATTCGGCCGTTTTATTATGTGGTCAATACAAGAAACCCCTTGAATTTCGTAATGTTCCAGGTTTATCGGGTACTCGACGAATAGTCTAATTGGACGTCTGAATTGCACGATAAACCTTAAATACTGACTAAACCTTACATTGCCAAATAACGAATGGGTCTGAAAGTTTCGCATATAAGGTTAGTTATCGCGAATAGTAGGGTTTACCAAGTATTGAGCATACGAACCCAGCTTTGCTCCTGCGAGCCTCAAGGCTAGATTACCGGCGTGGTATAAAAAATTACATTTAGCCACTTACTACAGTCTTGTATTAATTAGAACATGTTTGTGGTTTCTTATAAGAGCTTATAATTCTTTTTGAAAACCTATAGCTATGTGGTTTATAAGCTAAGAGGGGTATAAAGTAAAATAGATCTTTGTAGGCTACGACGCTAGCTATGGCTAACCCTGAACAATAATATAGTCTTCTAGTTATTAGGCTAGGCATGAAATTAGAAAGTATGATGTATATGTACATATATATACATATATAGTAGAATGTTAATTTATATCCATAACGCTACCTAGTCCTAAAGAACATCTATGTGAGGGTTGGAACCCATGATGGAGGCTCGGGCCATGCCCTCGCTAAGCACTGACCAAAGTCCCCGCTCAGCATTGGCCATTGCTCCACTGCTAAATTGGTTTCTCCTTTTCTACACTTCTCTACTCTATTCTTTTGACGTCACGTATTTGTCAAACAGTTTCTTGGAAGACTCCAGAAACTCTTCCTCTCTCTATATATAGAGGAAGAGATTGCATGCATGTAGTCTTCACGCACTTCTTAATTGAATATTCGAAACCACACCTTTGAGCGATTCGAGGTCTGGCCTGTCACAATCTATAATTTACTTAATAGTACATATAACTATTCCTGTGCTTCCATTTCCACACTCCCACTATTAGAAGTATTCAAGTACCTAGGTACTGTATGTACTTTGTTCGGCGCGGGCTTTTACTTTTTCATTATTATATACGTTCATAGTTAATGTTGGATTAATATTATCATAACTCTAATATTATATTATTAATATCTTTCTAATATAGATTTTGTTAGAATATCCCCTAATATTCTAATCTTATTATCCCGCCCAAGTCTATTCAGAAGATTCTAAGAATATCTCGCGCTTATTTTCGTTACTTGGCGGACTCACCAATTCAGCCATGGTTATTGTTGAACAACATATAACTTCATTAGCTTGGCCTTCTTGAGGTTCCATGATGAATTCTTTGCTATTTTCACTATTCAAATGGTCGTTAATAGCTCACGTTAGAACCTGTTTTACCAGTCCTATTCAATGAATAGCTCAGCTGTTTCTCACCCCCTTAACCTAATTTCAAATCCTGCTCGGCCTGGGTTACTCAAATATCCGACCATGTCACTAGAAGGCCCTTCCCATTTTTAAGTTCTTGGCATCCTTTGAAAACCTACTAAAGATACTGTAAGTGTTTGGAAATAGTGTTATTGTTGCTCTACTAAGTTGCCTAGTACCAAGAGAGATATTGCGCTAGCTTATCAAGCTACAAAGTAACCCTGTAGAATCTAGGTCTGACCATCTAACTATTTGTCCCCCGATAATGAAGTGAGGGTCAAACAGTAATTGCCCATATCCTTCTTAGGGAATCGGTCCTTGATCGGGCCGCAAATGCAATAAAACACCGTATTGTGTCTGAATGCCTGTGCCACCTAATATAATTACCCTTGGGAGTTGGACGGTCTAATTAAGTTCTACAGGGTACTTTGTAGTCTATTAAGCCAGCGTGGTGTGTCCTTTGAAACCAGGCAGCTCTGTGGAGCGAAAAATGACATCTTTCTTCAGGTACTTAGGTTAAGTTGTGTCTTTAAACTCATATATTCTGATCTGTTCGCTTAACTAGTTCCACTGTGCGAGTTTTATTGCGATACTGTAACAGTGTTCTTGGCGTGTGCGCAGAATGGATGAAATTTCTCGCAAATTCTGAGTTAGTACCATATGATTGCTCTTTTACTCTCATTTTCTTTGATCCTCGCATTGATTCAAGTAATGAATAGATCTTGCGCTAGGCATGTCGCGAAATACACTTGATGGAGGAGTGCTGAAGGTGACGTAATCTTACGAGTGGTTGTTGGCGTAATGGGCGGGAGAAGTTGCTTCGAAAAATGGGAATTGTTTACTTCTATGGATAACGGTGGTCTAGGTCTACCCAGGTAGGGGCGTTACGTATATTCATGCTATCCTTTCCAGCGTCTGTGCTGAAAGTTTGCCAGGCAAGAAACTTCCAATTATTTCCAGGCGGCACGAGCGCGCTACTAATATAAAAGCTTATCTCCCAATTGTAAGGAATGGCAAATGGCTATGTTTACCGGTATATTTTGGCGGCCTTGACCGGGATTTAAATTACCCCAGTATCAGTCGCTGTGCTCGGCTTTATTGAAATTTATACTTCTTAGTATTCTGTCCGTCCTGTGATGGATATGACGGCCCGTCTTCTCGTATGAGCTCTCTGCTACTCGAGCGGGTTTCAGGCTTGCAATAGAAATCGAGTTTTGTAATTTGTGTGCAATACGAAGCAGAATTACTCCTAAGACGTACTCCTGGAATTTCCATGAATGTTCGAGTGGTGAGGTCTTTCTTTAATATGATAAGTATACGGAAGTTTCCAGTATCTCTTGGCATGAGTTTCTAATTCTTCTTCCATTGATGGGAAGCTTAGAGGATGTACTTATATAGGACCCAGCTTTTCGTGAGCTTTCTCTGCAGCAATTACACACTTCTGCTCAGTCACACACCCAATCAACAAACAGCTCTCACTAAACATACCACAACCTCCTATTCCACTCTTCAAAATGCAATTGGTATCGCTCTTAATCCCTGTCGTAGTTTTAGCCATCGGGTAACTTTCTTCAAAAAGAAGCTAGGAAAAAGACAAAAGCTAACATCTTGTAGCGTGGTCTCAAGACGACACTACAGAACAATATGCCTTACTTACGACGCCGTATTTATGAATCGGGTGGTCCACGATGTAAATGTGACAAGAGATGCTTGCGCCGCATATAGAAAAAGAGATACGGGTTCTAAGCCATGGGAGTCATGCCCTGATTGTGAATTCCTGGAGGACAATCTTGTACCGTTCTGCAGCAGTCTAGATATGCATATAGGAGGTGACGAGGTCGGTATTTCCATCCAAGGATTCTACGTGGTCTTGTGACCCAAGGATTCCAACACTTTACTCTCCCGTTCATGCGCAATAACTAATCTTACCTTTATTAGTGGGAAGGTTATTGTCAAGCTCTTGGTGCAAAAATGGGGTGGCCGGGGTGGGAGGATGTAGAGGAATGATTTCGGTATAATTTAAATGGCGTATCGAAAGGTTCGATCCAACCAATTGATGTTAAGGACTGTCGGTTTGCGTGTAATGAGGTGGTTCATGTGATATATATAGACGGATTTAAAGGGGCCACATTCGCACTATCGCTTGGTCTCTTTCTCTCTCTCTCTCACACACACATGACTTAATAAAAATGCCACTTTTGCTTTCGCTTTCCATTATCTATCTTCTATAATTCTCAATAAAAAATTGTTGGATTTCCAAGGTATGGGGTCAAGTAGGTCATGTAGAATTGATTGAATTGTAAAGCAGTTATTGTACAGAGTATATATATGAGAATAGGGGTAAAAAGAGTGGAGTAGTATCCCAATGCGGAAACAGTGCAAATAATGAAATACATGTATAAATAATGAAATGAGTGGTTTCCACGGTTCAACAAAAATTTATGTTATACCGGTACTGCAATGCCTTCTCAAGTATGAGATTATCTGAAGCAACAGCGTGAAACTTAGACATAATAGATAATAGAGCTATTCTAATATACCATGGGGGTACCAACTAAAGGCACTATTCGTGTGTTGCTGTCTGTTTTACGGCACAAGGACTTTTATTTTATTACCTACTATTACTTCGATACACTGAGCTAAGTAAGACCCTCTTAGTCTCCAAGATTATAACCCAATAATTATCGAGAGATATCTCCACCCGTTTCTGCATGGCATCATAACCCTCGATGCGAAAGAATAAATGTAAATGGAAAGGAACCGAACGGCAACGAAATTCTTCCTTCACCCGCATATCGACGCCTTGAGTTAGGAGTCCCATCTCCCGTGTCCAGAATTCTGATACCCAATCCCCTCTCCCTCCTCAGCCTCTCGAAATCTCCATAGAAGGGCTCGGGAACAGCAAGCGCCAAATCAGCCAACTCTGCAAATCCAGGTGGGAGATCCAACCACGTGTGTTCATAGTCCCTTATTCGTCCAAAACTGGGCCAAACTTCTGTGAACTTTACGTCGTCTGAGAAATGCATACAGGGCAGGCGATTGCGTTGACTCCATTGACCATACAAGGTCTAAGGATTTTATTGAATTGAGGGTGATAGGACTCAAGGTGGTGACAAGCCTTTTGAGAGCGAGAGGTGATTCAATTCCAAATACTATTCTACCGTATAACATTGGCAATGTTTCAATGTAGCTATTATGGCGTGAGTTGGTTATTCTTGTGTCTAATTATACTATGAAATGGAGGGAAGAACCTACGCTTGGCGACAGGTAAAGAGGAAGGCCATTTCTAATCTGGGTGAAATCGCTGGGTTGGCGAAGCACCCTTCATCAGTGAAACACTGTTGGTGTGAAATATCAGGTCGGTAAAGCTCATGTCCCTCCAGACACGCCATTGTGCACCATGTTTGCTTTTCAACTACTTCGGATTCTTGGCTGCCATGTATTTGAATTATTTCTGTTGGTCGACTGAGATGCCATTTTCGAGCTTGATCAGCAAACAGCTCTTCATAAATTTGTTGACGGAGCTCAAGGGAGAGACGACTCAAAAGTGAGCAATTTCGTTGAGGAGAAATATTTTGGAACCTATGGAGTACTGTACATGGAGAAGGCATTGCAGACGGCTTCTGGAATTTTAGCATATCCTTGGACTTAATTTTCTTCGTCTTTGGGAATTAGCTGAACTCTAGAGAGCAGGATATAGATAATATGATTTACAGGTATTTCCATCGACATGCCCTCATTCATCGACGTACATTTTTCGGTCATCAGGAGTTTATCCCGATGATAGTCATCGTGAGAATTTTGTAGGGGGCGAGTTATACACGCTTCATGGTACCGTTGGCTGCCCATTTTTAGATCAACTGTGGCATTTCAAGATGCATTGGACTCGGTAAAGAAAACCCGAGAGGAAGCGCGTTTGAGCAAGCAAACGTGTATGTCGAGAGAGTTGTCTCGCAGTACGAGCAAAGGGTGGCTCTTTCCTTCTGTTTCCTTCACATCTTTGTGGTGATGACCTGGCGAGCCTGCAGGTCACACAGTTGTACTACGTTTATCGTGGCTCAGCTGAGGATTCACACATTCCCGCCTATGGATGACAACACATGATTGAAGCGAAAACTGCCCAGGTGGTGATACCGCTATATTTGCACTTGCATTCACTCTTGAAGGAGGAATTGGGATTATTGTTGTTGTTGAAGCTACCGTATTCCCATATCATGAACTTTCTCCCTTCGAGTCCCCCTGCATGACGTTGACTTCCCGACCTCGCGACTCATCTCGGTGTCAAGACGGATCAGCCGTTCGGCCAACCTTCCATTTTACCCCACTTTATCCACTTCTTTTTCAAGGGAGGAAAACAATCTCCCTCACAAGCCTTTTCCAAGCATCGGACATGACGGGTGCCAATTCTTAATCCATCAGGAGCTGCAAATTTGTAGGCTCTTACTGTACCTCATTTTACAAGATCTTCAGTTCTTAACTTCTTCTGAAAGTCTACCCCCACGAGTCTCTCTAGTCTCGTAGGTGCGCCTTCAATACGCGTGCGTGATAGAGGAACATCCACTCTTTGCAGTAGGAAAATTACACGCCATCACTCCTTCATCAATTTGTTGTGTTGCTAAGCATCTGTTTTTATGGAGCAAACGGGTCTGATTATCTCGCTTGGACCACGAACACTGGGCAATCAGCATTCTATTTCCGGGTTGTTATGGGTAATCATCTCTTGATTCAGCCCTTTATATGGAGAGCATGGCGTATTCCTGGTGGAGTGTGTATAATTACACCGATAACAGGTATCGTTGTGGGTTCTGTTGCCAAAATGGTATCTGATGAGTGGAACGCGTGAAATCTCCATGTGTTTGGGATTTCTTGTTCTGTGTCCTCCTTCATATTCTCCCTGCACCGTTTGAATTATCTCATTTTTTGCTTCTAACAACATCTAATCAATTTCGCTTGTTTTCTGGATTTTCGACCTGGTACTGACTGCCTTTGGCCTCAATTTGTGGACACAGCCCATTTTGCCGTATATCAATTAACACTATAAACGAAGGAGAGAAGGTGACTTGAGAAGAATGAGGGTGCGACATGTATTGGCTTCCGGTATTGCCATCTCCTCTTCATTGAGTGGGATAGCATCAGCGATCACCTTGGATATCACATCAGCGAGTGAGCATTCACTGCCCAAACACATCAACCAGATACAGGATCTAACAATAATCAGGCTCGATAAAAGACGCCGCAAAAACTATAGCGAAAGGAACAATGAGTTACTATACCGGATACAAACCAGGAGACAACCCAGGAAATCTTCCCGATCCATACTACTGGTGGGAGGCTGGCGCCATGTTTGGAACGATGGTGGAATACTGGTATTACACTGGCGACACGGAATACAATCCTATCGTAAAACAGGCACTTATCTCACAGATAGGTGATGATAACGACTATATGCCAACAAATCAAACAAAAACATTAGGAAACGACGATCAAGGATTTTGGGGAATGTCAGCTATGACAGCAGCCGAGCTGAAATTCGAAGATCCGGATCCGACAAAACCAGGCTGGTTAGCACTTGCTCAAGCAGTCTTTAATGATCTGGCGGGTAGATGGGATGAAACGAGTTGTGATGGTGGGTTGAGATGGCAGATCTTTGCTTTCAACAATGGATTTACGTACAAGAATTCGGTCGCGAACGGATGTTTGTTCAATTTGGCGGCAAGACTGGCTGTTTATACGGGCAATTCGAGTTACGCAGACTGGGCAGTAAAGACATGGGATTGGATGGAGCATGTGGGATTGATGAGTGATAAATATGCTGTTTTCGACGGTTCAAGTGATTTGGACGGTTGTAAAACCATCGATCACAGGCAGTGGTCTTACAACCAGGGGATATTCCTGTTTGGGGCAGCCATGATGTATAACTTTGTGAGTTGATCCGGTCCCCCGCCCCCATTGTCTCTTGAGGGTAATTACTGACTATGAATCGAAAGACAAGTGGCTCCGATGTTTGGGAACCCCGAGTCCAGGGTCTCCTAAATGGAACATCAATCTTTTTCAAAGAAGACAAAGTAATGTTTGAATCCGCCTGCGAAGACGTCACAACTGCGAAAGGAACCTGTAACACGGATCAACAAACTTTCAAAGGCTTTCTCTCTCGATGGATGGCCGCGACCTCTAAAGTGGCCCCGTTCACCCATGCACAAATTCAATCCTACCTTCAACCCTCCGCCAAAGCTGCAGCCCTTCAATGCTCGGGTGGCTCGGATGGCGTGACTTGTGGCGAACACTGGAGCGCAGGCGCTACTTGGGACGGTCTTTATGGTGTTGGGCAGCAAATGAGTGCGCTGAGTGTGGTGCAGAGTATGTTGATTGATAACGCGCCGGACTTGGTGACGAATGCCACTGGTGGTACGAGTGCGGGGAATGCCGCCGCTGGGGCTGGTGGAGGAACTGACAGCTCGGGAGGGACTGTAATCATAATCACGGGAAAGGACAAAGCTGGTGCGGGGATTCTGACAGCACTTGTTCTTTCTTGCGTTATTGCTAGTGTGGGGTTTATGGTTACCGGATCGTGAGTATTGGTAATGTTTCCTTGAGCGAGTTTTGCCCTCGTGCTTCTCCTATCATCTTGCAAGATAAGAAGCTTGAGATGCTTACAAGGGCCTCGTATTTTGTATATGTACTGTACGTTTGGGAGCATGAGGATACCATATGATAGCGGACGGAGTTTGGCGTTATGAGTGTTTTTACGAAGTACATATAAATCTTAAATAACTATTTTCTGACTACTGGCAACTCCTCATCGCGAACAAAGTTTCACTGTTACTGTATGGAGCCGCACAGGACCGGCAATCATACAAGATGTACCGTCAGTCGTCATCCGTCATCGGCCATTTCGACAAAAGATTGACTTTTCAGCTGGCGCATCTAAGGTTAAGAATTACTCCAACAGGATACTGTAGGTCTAAGCTTTTAAACTCCTTTGGTGGGCGGGTTGAGGTGCTACAGTACTTATTGAGAAGGCCTAAGCGACAAGGTATTCTGAAGATAAGGGGGTTCGCTTAAGAGCGAGCTGTGCTCGGCTGTGTTGCAGCAGGCAGTCAAGGCTATGCGGACGGAAAATCATTTTTACCATTTTGCCATGAACTATAGATGATCATAGAGGACTAAAAGGAGCACTTCTTGGTGTACAGTACCTTCAGACCTTACAAGTCATATTGATGTGCAGCTCCGCCTATCTCAAGCTTAATAGCAACATTTTCGGATTTTCTATGTTTAAAATACGGCACTTAGGCCTTCTATTAGGCATGAACCAATTACTGGAAATCAACTTATATTAATAGATCTTTTTCTGGTGGCTTTTGATTATATATTGAGTTAAAATATAGGCGTGGTTTCAAATTAGAGGTATTCTTTTTTCGTATCTACCAGGCCACAAGGTATAGTCTACTTTGTGAGAAGTGAACTGGGGTCCATTATTTGCATATTTTCTTTCACTAAGTACTTGGACTAACCTGTGGGGGTAGTGAAACATACAATTGTAAATAACGCAAATTTTGACGAGAATATCCCTACTGCCAGGAATTCACGCCAATCGACACAAAACCTGAATTTCAACAAGTGAGGCGAAGTGGTCTATCAGAACGGTCAGGTTCTAAGTAGTTTGTTCGTTGAGCTCTTAGTCCTCAAATTACAGAGTAGAAGTCGAATATTAGCTGCTGTACAGAAGCAGTGAGAAAGGGGCTTCCAAGACAGCTGCTGTGTTTATATACAAAGTTTCTCGCATATTCTACTTAACCAAAGACACATGCTAGATGAAATTCACTAATGTAGTCTTTTCCTCGCTTAGCAAATACTCTTCCGCATGTCAGTACCCCTATGACCTTTGAAATTACTCACTTTTACCAGATCTTCACATGCATTTAGCTATACAAACATAACCTGTTTGTCAATTAGATCCATGAATGATTATAAAGATTGAATGTAAAAAACAGGTTTATATCTACATTATTACTCAAATATCAATGTAGGTTTCGCAGTTCAATCACTTCAGAGTTGTTACACAGCGGCCTCTGGTTTCTATAAAAGACGAGCAGCTTTCATCTAGACTAATCTTTCAACTTCAACTCTTACACAACTCAAGCTCCATTTCGATGAGATTCTATTACCCCCAGATCTCATACAATCATCTACATCAAGTCTCATCATCAGCTCCTACACTCAAACAAGACAAAGAGTCTTCTCAACACTGACAACTCACTTCTTCCCTCAAGCCCCAAGAAGTTACGGGGTATCTCAACAGCCAAAATCACCTAGAGCTACCAAATAATCGTCCGAAGCAAAGGCCAAAATGTGTTATAAGACAATTTACTACTGCGATAGCTGTGGACAATACCTAAGTTCCACCAAGAACCCTTGCGGCGTGGCTAGACGCGATCGTATTTTGTGCTACCGCTTCGGTGCGCCCGAGGAGAATCAAGACCGTATCTGCAGAGAATGCGATGGGAGACAGGCAGCTCGGACGCAGCAATTCGTGCGTAACGCATGGGACTTCGGTCGTGTCGCCTGGGCTGCACTTAATGAACGCCGTGGCGGTAATCGACGTCAAGGCGATCATCGTCATCAAGGCGGCTATCATCATCAAGGTGGTCATTATCGTCGCTGACGGGCGTGAAAATTCATTTCGAAGGGCGAAGATGAATCCTCACTTGGAACATTGAAAAGGATACATGGTGGGAAATTTCTTATTGCCGACATGCCCTCATCAAGTTCGACATGGAATGGGCTGAGCTATTCTATATCTAATTTAGGAACTTGGAAATGAATGTGGAAATAATTCGTTTAACAATCAAAATTTTTGGACTCTTCTTTGCATCATTTCTCCTTTGTAAACCTGGAAAGCACTAGTTCTAAAGATCTATGGAACGAATAGCGTGGGAAAACAACAATTAGCCACTCAAGTATTACACAACTAGTAGTTAAGTTAAGTTGAGTTAAGTAGTAGACTTAACTACTTGATCAGTATTGAGTGCCTATAGTCGATTCAACTACTTACTGTACCGCTTAAGTAATACTCATAAGTAAAAACGTAACTAAAGTACAATATAAAACGTAACTAGACAATAAACTAACAACTCTCTCATTTATCCGCTAGCCTGTTATATTATCAAGAAATGTTATATCTAAAAACGTATAACAATCAGTTATAGACTAGTACTCAATAATAGAGATGGATGGTTCAGGGGGTGAAGGGGGGGGTTATAAGGGTAGCAGAATCTAACCAGGACGACCGGCGGTAGTACCTCGGGGCACCTAGGGCGCGCTACGGCGCCTCGGCCCGGCTAAGCTCCGAAAAACTAAATTGGTATCTAAGTACTTAAGTACTTAGCGCCAAGTGCTCAAGTATGAGATGAGTAGGGTTATTCAACTCAACTCATTTCCATCGCTGAATGTGATTGTACAAACACAGCACAAACACAACCTTTTGTATAAAATGACCCATGAATAACTTTTAATGGATGGTAAAAGATAGGTTTGAGTGTGTGTTATTCTTAGAGTAGTATTTCTGCTTCCTTCTCTTAATCACTTCAACAGTGTTACACCGTTTTGGCTAGCAGATATAAAAGGAACGCTTGCTTTCTCTTGACCCATCTCTTAACCTTAATCGCTTGAGTTCAAAACCTCTGCAAGGTAAGCTTCGTTCTGGCGAGCCGTCATTAATTCCCAGTCTCACGCTCAGCTTTTTCCGTTCTAGATACAACCAGCCTGCTTCAACAACCACACAAAGTGTCCTCATACCGAAACATTCAACTTTGTCACTCCCAAAACCAAAAGTACACACAGAAGAAACGCGACACCTCCAAAGCAAACCCCAAAATTTGCTGCCCAATCGAATATTACTGTTCCACATGCCGCCCCGGCTATCGCTACTACACCACCCGCCCTAAGCCTTACACTCTCTGCGAGGGGAACCCTTCCATGTTGCCTCCAAAGCGCTACCCATACTATGAGCGCAGACCCAATACAAGATATATTGAGTGTGACGAGTGCTACCGGTACCGCCTGCGAAGAGAAGAAGAAGGCCGTCGGCGAGCTAGGCGAAACTACGCTTGAAATGCGCGGTACCATGGTGTTGGTACACCTCGGAAGCATCATGACCCTTATATACCTCGACAGCATCAAAGAGGGGAAGAGAAAACTGCGGAGGAGAACGAAGGATTGCGTTTGGAAATTTCATGTATTGCATGGTGTGCCGGGGAATCGCAGGATATGCGAAGAACAAATTCAATATGGATGAGCTTTCCTAGTCCTAAGTACTACCTTCCTTTAAAGGTTAAGCTAGCTAGTAGGTACTTATTATAGTAATTTGGTCTTTTACTATTATACCCTTTTCTTACTGTTCCTTCCATGTTTTCCTCTCTTTTCTTTATAGTAGTATAATAGCTAGAGATACTATCATAGGTACGTATAATAACCAGGGAGATATAGCGTATATATAAAGGGGATGCGATATATAGGGCTTACGAGGGGTAAGTAGGTATATATGTTCGGTAGGTATAAGACACGTCAGGGGTTAGGAAATAGGAGTAGGTAAAGGGGGCATAAGAGAGTATACTTATATTTCAGAGGGCTTATACTATATAAATTAGTTTAGACTTAAACTAATAGACCGACATAATTCTCTAGCACTTTCTATAATGTTAAGTAACTTTACGATTTAGGTTTTAGGAATTAGGATTTACTCTATTTAACCTTATAGTATATTCGTGTTATTAGGAAATCTAGGCGGAAACTCTTTAGTTAAGTAAGTGCTAAGTACCCTTACTATTTATACTAGGAGCGAGCCACGCTAGTCCACATTGAGCGGAGCTAGCAAGTTGGTATGTGACTGATATGAATATAATGAATCACTCCTCGTGACCTATTCACTTCACTATTTCTAACATCTCGTAAATTAGTTTTTTGGACGACCGAATAGCCTCGATAGCTAGAGTAATTCGCGCTTCTTGAGTTTGAATTTCCATGGTAAATAGTTGAAGAAAACTTGTGTTGAAGTTTGAGGAGGTAGTGCCAAGGAAAAGTGATCGACTCGGTGATATGATCGACTCGCTGATAAACCACGTTACCTTAATTGTACAGTTAGACCAATAACAAGATATTTACAAATCACAGAGTGCAAATCGCAAACTTCATCTGTTTACTACTACTATTAGTCCTGGACCCCACGCCCCCATCTCGCTTAGGACTGGAGCCTAATATAATTATTCCCTTGTACACTCGCTACCCCAGCCTTCCTCCTTCCGTCTCACTACTATAACCTTGCGCTCGCTAATACATTCTCTTCTTTTCCTTCTGTTATTAGTTAATTTGACTAGTTATTCCACAGCATAGGACCTGCATGCATAGAATAGAACAGGGAACGTACAACAAAGGAGGGGCATATATATGCCAAGGCTATATAAGCCAGGCTCCTGCCTACTGTTGTTAGCTCCCTAATCATCTGAATACAACTCATCTGGTCTTCCATATTCTTAGCAACACTTTCTTTTTCTCTTCTCTATATTATTCTTGTAACAAGCAGAATGTAATAAGACACATGTAAATAACGGGACACAGTAGTAAGAGGCGTAGCAGGGCTTGCGAAAGTAGGGGTATACAGTTGTACACTAACCAGAAAGGACTGTTTATTATTTAAATCTATCATTAACATAGAGGTTCCAAAGTTACAATGCCGTGATTTGTCAATCAATTGTAATATTCACTTAAACACGCGGAAAATACACTCAAAACAATAACATTTCGCTGATAAATCAAACCTGCAACAAGGCAAGAAACAGGAAGTCTCATCACAATTAATCACTTCAAGAAACTAAGCCCCTTCCAAATGTCTATAAAAGGACCAAGCCCCCCTCCTATATCTCACATCCAAAACCTCACTGCTCTCCAGAATCCAAAAGAATCTACACACAACACCAGTTCACACCACCATCACTACATGCGAAAAACCACAACGCACCTACACACAACATACTTCATCATACCATCACAGCACCAGCAAAAGAGCTTCATCCTCAAACCTTCTCTGAATTCTCGGAAGCCGCAGCTCCCTCTACAACTTCAACTAACTGAGTCTCGCCCATCCACGACATCAAAACCCACAACCTCACCATGTGCGCACCCAGACGCGATTGGTGCGAGTGGTGCAAGCGCGAAGTGACTCCTAGCGGCGGTCGATATGAAGCCTGCGATAAGAAGCCACTAGGCGTAGATCCACAAGCTTGTCCTCATTGGGATGCTGGTGCCGATCCTTGGTTTGGGGTAGTATGTAGTAGGTGCGGATCAGGATTTCCTGCCCAACTACGACGTTAAATGGGTTCAGTCTCTACCTCTTGGTGTCACTCAAGGTTATGGACAGCTCAAAAACTACCATCGTGGACCTCCATTGGCGTTCTTGATTTGAAGTATCCCATCAACTGTATTACTTCTGAGCTTGCGAGGGGAAGATTGGGTTGGATTAGGTGTGAGGACAACGATCAAACATGAGAAATCGTGGACATCAAAAAAGGACACAGGGAAAAAGAACGTTGATCGTTCAGTGATGGAAATTACAGGATTTATATCAGGCGCTGGTCATCTGGGATGAACCAGAAATGATGGATATCAAAAAAAAGAACGTTGAACGTTCAGCAATAGAAAACATGGAAATAACATAGTACGCTAGTCGTCAAGAATAAACTTCTTCACATCCAACTTTCATGATTATTCGCCATGTGAAATTACTTAAGACGTAGTACAAACCTCAGGTCTTGACATACTGTAATAACACACTTCTAGTACAAGCAGCATGGTAACAAAACTAATCAACGACTTAATTTAACTCAAGTATCCGGTACCGTATTACCCAAGATAAGTTGAATGAGTATGGTTAGGTAATTATATCAAGTTACGCTGAGCGATAAATTTAACCATTCAAGTAATATTTGAGTATTTATATAAAACCCGACTATAATACAAGCACTCGTTGATACCATCATTTACACCTAACATAAGGGTAATATTTGCTCGGCTAAGTCTGAGTATATGGACCGTCCGATCCAGTGCCAGAGTCCGGTTAACTAGCCTAGGTGCACTATAGGGTATTAGGCGGACGATGCCCAAGCTACTTACAGACGAAATCATCGAGTATTTAGCTTGTTAAGTTGATTAGTAATTTTGAATACTTGAGTTAAGTTGACTACTTAACTCAACTACTTGAATTTACCACGCTGAGCACAAGAGACCTATTAATAGTATCAGGAATGCTAAGAATCCTTTCGTTTCTCAAAATCTTCATTGCAAAATACGTGTATCAGAAAAGACCATCTACCAAGACAACAGGGGTATATCAGCGAAGGAAAAGAATGAAACAAAGGCCGGTGCATCTAGCTCTAGCTCAATATCCCCAATCTGCCATATTTCAAAGAAAAATGACCACCGTCTAATACCAGAACCTCACAGCCCAAAGTGTAACCTTACACCAAAATTCTCCAAGTTCCCTCCAACGCCTTCCATCAAACCCTTCCAACATCACCACCACCACCACCCATCCCCTTCCCCTCCTCCCCCCTCACTTCACTATGACCCACCCAAAACCTATCACTCGACTTGCCACCCCCCCCCTCTAAAAATCCCACTCACATCAAAAGGATCCAAAAACGTAACATACCACTTCCTCTTATCCTGGTATCCCGGTCCTTCGACCTCTGTCACACCATCACTCTCCAGATAAATCCTGTTATTCCTAGGTAAGTAACGCATCGGATGCCAGAAGTTCAATAGGAAAGTATTAAGTAACATCAGGGATCCCTCAAAGACCCAGAAAAACCATTCATACCTCACCAACGGCGAAGGTAGTCCCGGGCTCGACGCAGAGACACCAAGAGAAAGCGAGGAAATAGAAAAGTACTCCACGGTCCTAAACAACATCCGAATCCCAATCAACGAGGAAGAAATATACAAAGTCCTCAACGGGATGCGTAAATTCTTTGGTGTGAGACCAGCGGCGCGACATTGGCGGTGGAACGTAGCAGCTAAGAAGATAAAGCAGGATAACACGACAAGTTGCAGGATTAAAGCGCGTTTCAAAAGTGCCTTTCCCGTATCTTGTTTCTTCCGCGGGAGAGTTGTGTTGGCTACCAGCGCCGCGCCGTTGGCGTTCGGTGTCTCGATGATGGTGCTGATGAAGCCGAAGGTGGAGAGGACGCGGCCGGGGTGGATGGGGGTGTGGTGGGGGATGTAGTAGAGGAGGCGGGAGAGGATGAAGTAGTTTGCGAGTTCGTAGATGGGTCTATGTCATTATATATATCAGTGACCTCGGTTTTCCAAACAGGGTTTGGGGGGAAAGAGGAAACGTACGGAGCGGCGTATATAAACACCAAACTTGAAATGAAGATTGGTACGTTATCGTAGTTGAAAGTCCCGATTTCTCGTAGGATGTAGCCCACAACGAAGAGCAGCGCTGCCCAGGGAAGATACCGGTTACTTTCCAGCATTTATAGCGGCTGTGGTTACGGTGTTAGAGGAGGGTTTGTGGGGTTTGTGGGGATGTTGTGGTGAGACGAACATGCATTGATAGAAGTGCCAGAACATTGAGATACTGAATAGTAAGGCGAATATTATTGGTGCTACCTTGTTTGGTGCGTAGTACCAGAGACTTCCTTCCACTGAGATGTTTTTGTTAGCGAAAGATTTTGGTGGGTTGGAAGTTGAAAGTACCATATTTTCCGTCTTCCATTTTGACGTTTGAGTGAAATCGAGTAGGAAGCTACAGTATGTAAAGTTTGAAATTCGTAGGTTCGTGGATAGGTCGCAATTCCGTGATACAGAGAGGGCGAGATGTCCCAATGACGTTCCCCTTCTTTGTTGTGGTCGAAAGCTCGATCCCTCCTCAGTCGTACAAGCGAAGCTGCAAAGATGTGAAATCAAAATCTTCTTTCTATCCAAAAGGTAAGTAAAAGGTTCAAAGAGTCGTACTGCACCCTCCAAAGAAACCATTCAACAAATCCCTCGCTACGGACATACCATAATATACCTCCTCCCCCCAAACGCAGTAATAATTCCTCCGAGTCAAAGTAAGAGGCTGAACCAAACAAAACGTATCCGCTACCAATACGAAGAACCCTGTCAAGCCACCTACCTCGCTTAGTCTATCTTAGCGGCGTCATGAGGCGTTTGTTCGTCCTGAACCAAACAAAACGTATCCGCTAGCAAACTCGGAAGCAAATACGAAGAACCCTGTCAAGCCACCTCGCGTAGCATACTTAGCGACGCCACAAGGCTTTTTCCCATTCATTGGTTGGGCGTGGGCCGAATGATAGGCATCCGGCTAGCGAATGAGCTTGTTTGCACCTCTCGCATTCTAGAAAAAGCGTTGGGGCTGCGATGAGTGAGGGTTTTTGGGTGTGCTGCCTTGTGGTTTTGTAACTTTGTGGAAATCGGGAGGTGCGGGGTGGTGGCTGTGCTCAGGAATGGAAGGGAGGGTTCGATCATCCGTTTCTTTTCTTGTTTAACAAATTATTAGAGGGACTTGGGTTTAAAGTCACGAGAACGGTAGGACACAGGATGAAATGATTGGAAATTTTCTAATCTTATATACAATACTCCATGAAGTTCCCGTACATAAAGTACAGCAAAATTCAGCCTGCCCAGATCGTGGAGAAAGATTATTGCGATGAATTGCTAGAAACATTGCGCATTGATATCACAAAGGGTATCATATCAGCAACTCATCAAATTAGTCAAACAAATAACGCAGAACTCCGCCCACTTGAGAAGCATAGCCATGAGTGGTAATCACATCAACCAGGACAACTCCAGCTCGCACATTACTATCGACAATCTACTCCGCCGCCTCCTCTTGCGTGGATTGCGATTGAGTCGATTGACTGAAGATGGATTTATCCTTCTTCTTCTTTTTGCTGAGCTCATTACTAATGTCGGTATTCTGCGAAAGATCCCCCTTCTTATGCATCTCTTTACTCTTCGACTTCGACTTCTTTAGACTAATGTTCTCTTGCTCAGTTTCTTCGAAACGAGGCTGCGAACCGTTCAATTGCGAGGTGGAGGGTGTGGACTGAGAGGCTAGAATGGTGTCGCTCGATTTCAGGCTTGATTTCAAGGCGGATTTGAGGGCTGCGGACTTTGGCGGAGGAATTGGAGTGGTAGAAATAGGAGCTTTAGTTGACGCTAATGGCTTGTCTTCCGGATTTTGAGGAGATTCTGTCTGTTTTGTCTTCAGTCGTTTTAGCTGCTGGTTGTTAGGAGAATCTGTTGATTTTGACGAACTGTGCTTTGATTTCTTTTTTTCTGACCCATCTCCATGCTTTCTCTTCAATGTACCACTCTTTGATTCTGACTTGGAAGATTTATGTGGTTTGGAGGTCGCAGGTTTCGACTTGACTGGCGGGGCTTCACTCATTTCGACGTCCGAGTCTGATGCTATCGATTCGGGCTTTCTAAATCGTGCAGGGGCCTGTGTTTCTTCTTCAGAGCTGCTTTCCTCGCCCAATTTCGCTAATTGCCCTTCACCAAATCCGATAGGGAAAAATCGCATTTTCAACCCTTTAGGCTGCTTTCGTACGGGTTTTGGAGCTGGAACGGTGGCTTTGGAAGAGTTTAAATTTGCGCCTGGGGCTTTGATAATGCGCCCAAGATGTAATACTTGATCGACGGGCTTGGGGACTATATCGGGTCAGCGAAGAAATGAGCAGGTTTTGGCTTCTGTTTCCCTACCGACTTTGTATCCATTCTCTGAAGAACTGGGTACTAGAATGCTGGTGTATGTATTTTCTTCTGCCTCAGTCTTGGAAAATCCATAGTCGTTGCCATCCTGTGAGTAAACCACGTCCCTGTTCTTTGCGCCAAGCAGCGACATTTCTTGAATCGAGTCGATAGGTACAGATGCGGGAGCAGTGAAATACCATATTTGCTTCCCACCCAATCTTGACGATTTGAATGGCTTCGCGACTTGTGAGGCATCTTCTATGGATCTGGATTCGAAACCGGTTGGAGGTTGGTAGGGGATGACCTTCTTGGGCGCGGCAGGTGGAGGGGTTGGTTCTTTTGCGAATTGTCTGCGCAAAGTTAGCTTGCGCAAGCAATCATTCGCAAATGCACTGACACTTTGGGTTTTGGCGCCTTTTCCTTTTCGACTACAATCTCTGTCACATCCTCCTCGTCTTCCTCGTCGCTCTCCGCATCCTCTTCATCTCTTCCACTTTCCTCTTCGCTGGAGCTTTCCTTTTCGGCAGGCGCTGATGATTTGCCATTGACCTTGGGATTTACAAATATAGGGTTCTTGGGCAGTGACTCGTCATCGCTGTCTCCTTCTGAGGTTCCCTCTTCATCGTCGCTATCTACCACGGTTTCTGCGCTCAACGGCTTTGGTGGGGAAGGCTTTGACTTTGATTTCTTAGGGACAGGCGCGGCTTTGTTTTTGAACTCCTTCGCCATCTTCTTTGATGAAGGCGCAGTTTTTGGCATGGTGCTGAGGTGTTGCCAGTCAAGATCAGTGGAATGGATGTTTCTGTGAAGTTTGGATGGAGGCTGGGTTGGTTGAAGCTTCAGGCTGTGAACTTGAACTTTTTTTCAAGCCGCTGGCAAAACATCGGCTCAAAATTTTGCCAGCCTTGTGGACGCCGCCTTCACTGGCTTCCTCATCGTGAATTGGCAATACAACAGAATTGGGAACTCGATAACTTCACACCATATCATGAATCCTCCAAGGAAGAAACAGAAGCTGGGAAAGGAAAAACAAGCAAACGCGCAACGTTAGTTAATTTTGTACCCAAAATAAATTAGCGCAAAATTGCTAACAAATATAGCCTTGAGTGCGATCGCAGCCAGAAGAGCAGCCCTACAAGCGCAAACTCAAGGCCAAAATGGGGATGGAAGGGAAATCTCACAGAACCCCAAGACTCAGGAGGAGCCAGAGCTTTTTGACTCGAAAAACCTCGAATCTGTGCTCGAAAGTTACGCGAAAGAGCGTCCAACAGTGGAGACCACTTTGAATAGGAAGAAGGTTGTACCAGATGAACCTATGCTTTCTGACGATGAGGAGGTTTCTTCTTCGTATGTCTTTCTCTCATTCTGCTAGTCCATGGTTACATTTCTGACTATTTCTAAAGATCTGATTCTGGTGACGAGCCTCCTGAAATATCCGTGAACAGGCCTTCTGTGGCTCTATCTACTTTCAAACCAAGCAAAGAAAATGTCAAGGAACTTAAAAATGGTGGTCTACTTATGCGATTAGCACCCGGTGAAGTAAGTGAATTTCCTCGAAAAATTTGAATCGAAATTCTGACGTTCTAGCGACTGGTAATACTCGGTCAATACGAGATGACCGTTCAAAAAGGGGAGATTACGCTTCTAGGTGCTACTTTGACTGCCTTGAAGAAGTCCTACACAGTCTACTCTCCTTCATCACATTCTCTTCCAGTCATAAGATGTTCAGCTACAGATATAAAATGCGCTGAGATATGCTTTCAACCTCATAAAAGCGGCCTGGAAACTTTACAAGATCTATCTCCTCTCTTCGGAAAACTATGGAATGAAGATTGTGGACCCCTAGGTCCTGATTTTGAATTTCTCTTGCAGAATCAAAAGCCGAGTACATACCAGATAGTAAGTTCAATTTCACTTTCACCACTCAACCTTAGATAGTACGGTTTTGAGTTTCTAACATCCTATCACAGCTCTTTCCCTCCCTCCAAAACCCCCCAAAATCCCACCTCCAACCCCTAATCTCCCCCCCAGAATGGAACGCCCTCCTTTCCCGGCTCTCCTCACCCTCCTCTACGCCCACAACGCCTCAAATAACTCTAATAACGGGTCCCAAATCCTCCGGGAAATCCACCTTCGTCCGCCTCCTAACCAACAAACTCCTGTCCACCCATGTCTATGCCAAAACCCAAGGGCTCGCTCTCCTAGACCTTGACCCAGGCCAACCCGAGTACTCTCTCCCCGGAAACCTCTCTTTGACACACCTTCGCTGCCCAAACTTTGGAACGCCATATATGCACCCGCGTCCTAGCGGGAGTAGTAAGACGATACGGATGCATACAATATCAGCTATTACGCCGAGTATGGATACAAGTCTGTATATGGCTTGTGCGATAGACTTGTATTCACATTATCGCAAACTATTGTCGAGTTTCCCCAAGTGTCCGCTGGTGGTCAATACACCAGGCTGGGTATTAGGTACGGGATTAGAGATCTTGGTTGAACTCATCTCCTCGTTTCGACCAACAGAAGTGCTTTACATGTCTTGCGATGGACCACAGGAAGTAGTGGAAAGTCTGAGAGAAGCCTGTGGGAAAACATCCAAGGCGTCGATCTTTTATACCTTGCCCTCGCAAAGTAGCGAGTTCACTACACGAACAGCTGCTCATCTTAGGACGATGCAGTATATGTCTTATTTCCATCTCAACCCTGATGACAAGGAGGGAAAGGAAGATGGATTATCATGGAACAACACCCTGTTGACTAGTATGAGGCCTTGGGAGATCAAGTACTCGGGAGAAAACAGGGGGATCTGGGGAGTGATGTGTTATGGGGAGCAGCCACCACCGAGTTTATTGGCGGAGGCTATTAACGGCTCTCTGCTCTCTCTGGTCGTCGTAGGCGATGAATTCACGATCCAAGATCCAACTTCGAGTTCGAATCCTGATATCGAAACGCAAACATCTCTCACCAAACCCTCACCAAAATCAAAATCATCAGAACCAGATCCCAACTTCATATCCCTAACCACCACCTCACCCACTCCCAAACCCCAACCCAAAATCCCGCCCACCAAACCCCCCCCCNNNCCTCCATCCCCCTCAACACCCTTTCCCAATACCAAATAACCCACACACCCGAAGGCATCCCCTACTTCCACCCCTCCCCCCCACACCCTCTCTCCCCAACCACCTCCCAAACCCTCGGTCTCCTCCTCATCCGGGGCCTCGACATCCCGCGTAGCCGTCTCCAAGTCCTCACCTCGATCCCCTCTTGCGTCTTAAAAACACTAAACACACCCGGCAAGAGAGTCGTGTTGGTGAGTGGGAAACTGGATATACCGGGTTGGTCGTATACGGAGGAGGTGAATTTACGGGAGGCTCGATGGCGCGGCCGTCGGGAGAGGACTGATGAGGAGAAGGGGGAGCAGGATGAAGAAGGAGAAGAAAAGTATAATAAGAGAGGAGATGGATTCACGACCATCCCCTGGGTTGAGAAATTAGAAGGGTCTCAAGGACGGGGTATCGGTTCGCGCGTCTGGCGCGTACGGAGAGATTTGGGGAAGATGGGGGATGCAGATTAAGAAGATGTAATGAGTAGGTAGGTAGATATCAATGTATCATCGATCCACACGATGAAGTATGTAAGATTACAGTACCAAATCAACGGGCATCCCGAATCTACAACGTTCGCACCCCCCATCCCAATCCCAATCCCAATCCCGAATCTACAACGTTCGAACCCTCCATCCCAATCCCAATCCCAATCCCAATCCGCTCTCCAACCCCCAGAAAGGAAGCGAGAAAACAGCAACGAAGAAATTTCACACAACCCAAAAAATAGAAGAAGAATGATAAGAATGTTTTCCTACCGAACAAGCTAGCTAGCTACCCACCCACTTGAAGCTGACTATCCTTCCTTCATCCATATCATCCCCCAACCAACCAACCACCTATCAACGAGACCCCCACACTTTCCCCCATCTCCATCTTCTCATCTGTAAATAAGGAATTTGTATGCAATGATCGAATATTTTAAGACTCCAGAAATATGCCCGCCCGCGCGCCCGTCCATTCTCACTCAAGCCCCATCACGCAAAAAGAAAAGAGAGAGAGAGAGAGAGAAAAGTCTCAATCTCACAACCTCATCAATAAAAAAACGCACGAAAAGTCTTCCCAACGCCCGTTCATTCAATCAATATCCCCACGAAATGGACTCAAATTAACCTTTGCTTAAAAAACGCCCACGCTGCTATGCTTGCTCAAAATGCATGTTCCCCAATGAACCATATCAAACCCCAGAGACATGCGATGCTTTCATCTCCTCAAATCAAGGCTGGAACCCCTAGCTGAATCAATACTGGGTCTCATTGATGAACTTGAGCTTCTACGTCTTCGTTCACGCTGGTCATTTGGGTTGGATGGGTGGAGACCGGCTTGGCGAGCGAAGAGATTCAGGACGTCTGTCAAAGATACCACACCTGTGAGACGGCCAGAGATTCTTGCGCCGGGGAGAGAGGCCGCGGAAATGGCAGGGAATGAACCTGAGAGGGATGGGGAAGCGGGGTTTGAAGATATGGGCGAGGTGAGGGCTGCGTGGCTGGTGGATGGCGTTGAAAGAGGTGTGGCGGGGTTGGAAGGGGATGGTGAGGAAGATTCAACGATCCACATGCGGTGGGATCTTGTTGCTACTAGTTTTGCAACTGTATGGGCTAATGTGGAATAGGGGCTGACGTAGAAAACTGTTGCATTGTTAGTGATATTGTCCTTCGATTTTGGAATTTCATTCTCACCTGGAAATGTATCTTTTCCATCATTCATTCCCCTTTCGGAAAGAATTACTGAGACGAAATGAATGCAGGTCGATTTCAGTAGTGGAAGACTAGCTGAACTAGTAAGGAGTCTGACGTCAGCTGTCGAAATATTTCCAACTACGTTCAGTGCGTTGTCTACAACTGGAACGCTGGTAAGACCCTCGTTTGACATGAGCTGAAGAGCTTCCATCAATGGTTTATCGCCGCTACATTTACGTTAGTGCTGCAGGCCCAGAATTTAAGAGGGTATCTTACTTGATGGCAACAGCAGAAGGTAGTCCAACCGACAAATCCTTCAGGGTATGCGGGTATAACTGGTCGATATTTGGGAAACTGGGGGCATTATCCCACAGAAATTTAACCAGCTTCAACTGACTGAGAACCCCAACAACCTCGCTCGACCCCTCCTTGCAAACGAGAATTCGGTGTATGCCACTCCCAAAATGCTCCATTGCTTTAGAGAGATCATCGGACTCCGATAGTGTGACAAGAGGTTCCTTGTTCCGTAGATGCTCGATGTCTCCAAGGGGTATTTTGGTATTTTCGCGAGCCCGTTTAGCTAATGAATCAAAATCCTCCAACTGCCCCTGTTCTGGATTCGCGAGTCCGACAACGACAAGGAGGTAGGCATTGAGGTCATTGTAATCGAAGGTTCCACATGCGGTTTTATCATTCGAACTTTTACGCAAAAGAACAACATTTGGAGGTCCCGCTTCGATTAATAGCTGTGCAACGTTAGTAACTGGTGCTCTGGCTCTCTGAAACTTCTTCAAAAATGGCATCACATACGCTCGTAGCGGTTTGGACATCGGTGTCGAGTTCTGCCCATCGTATTTCATTCCGTCTCACAAGTTCACCAACATGTATATTCCTCCAATCTCTACCAACAAATCTCGGATCGCCGGTCCGCGAAGAAGGGGGATGAATGAGTAGCTCCTGCACGGCAGCTTGTGTGAATGATGGGTGTCGCTGAGAGCGTGGAGAGTGTCTCAAGTTTTCAGCAAAGCTAGAACGGTGGCTAATGGCTCCTCCAAACTTGGGGCTTGCTGTATTATGGCGTGGAGGCGTCTCAGTCGGTACGAAAGATGGTGGTGTAGGAGAAGTCATGGTTAACTTCTCCGCCTTTGGCAAGGCAGTGATACAGGTGGGAGGTTAAGGACGTCGTTTTGTATTACACTGGTATGTTAGCAAGACTGGTCTTTAGAGCCAGAGATCGTGTATGTAATTGGTCGAAAAAGTGTCAAGTTGCGTGGGTGAAGGTGAAGATACTCCAGAGCTGCTCCAAAATGGAAGCTATACGAGGTGGCCCAGCTTCCCCTGACCTCACCTCAAGATTTCCCCGCCTCAACATTCACGTGATAGGGGTCAAGATCCCTCGTATCCGTATTTCAACTACGAGTACGTAGGTACATAGTTGGATCAATACTTTTGTTTCATAAATCGAAGTTTTACTCTTCTAGGAATAGGGAATCTTTATGTAATACTGTACAAGTAGATGTGCAGTATTTGTTATTCAAGCTGTTTAAGCGAGGTTGGACTTTGCACTTCGATGCGTGGCGGCCCTCCTATTACTGGAGGAAATGTGATATATATTGTCTCTCGTTGACTACAAGATCAAGTTCCCGAAGTGTGCTTGGTCAAACAGTTGACAGTATACTTGTACTCGGCGCAGAGACAGCTGTCAACCCAAGAGGCTAGGTGTAGGTAGTGAGCTGTCAAAATCATTAGTTGGACTTGGGAATAACGGTGGTGGGAAAAACGATAGCTGCTGGTAGTGTAGCTAGCAGAGACTCTTCCCAAATCTATAATCCCTGGTGATGGTCCATTCAGAAAATGATGAATGGTGGTGTGTTTACATTCAGCGGTCGGTTTCTCCTGATGAAGGGGGCACTTCTCGCTATGATGGCTCGAAACAAGATTGCTGCTCTACGCACCCCTCGGCAGGTGAATGCAGGCTTCTGGAGGCCCAACCACTGCTGAAATTACCCCTCCGCGGTCTCCCTGTCGCTTGGGAGCCAGTGGGTCCCTTTGTCCATCCGCAGCCAATCAAAAAATATCATCACGATCCCCCACCAAATGTGAAAACACGGCGGGATACAACACATTTTCCATGCCCGCAAACACCACTACAATACAAGCATCGCACCGTACCGCACCGCACCACACCAACACCACACGAAGCTGCACTCACTGCCTTTCGTTCTTGCCTGTCTGTCTGTCTTTGATCAACCCCACCACTATTTCTTCGGCCCCTCCGCGGCGCAGGGAAGCACTGACATCGCAACGCGTCCGCATCTCCCATCTGCTCTGCCAGGGCGTCGTGCGAGTCCCTTCCGCGCATGATTGCCTGCCTCCCACACCGAGGCCAGTGATCTGAAAACTCGAGCCGTTGGCTTTCGCAAACTCCAAAAACACTTCTCCTCAAGATGTCTGTATTACCGGCAGAAGTGCACGCCGAGCTGGTGCAGCTGCTGGATGCGCTGCAGTCCTCCGACAACAATGTTCGAGCCCAGGCCGAGGAGCATCTCGCCAACAACTGGACCGCAACCAAACCCGAGATGCTGTTGATGGGTCTGGTCGAGCAGATCCAAGGCTCCAATGATCCCACCGTCGGTACCCCTCTTGGACGTGTCTGTAAATAGGAAGCTAATCCCTTGTCTTCTCCACAGACTCGATCATTCGCTGCCGTTATCTTCCGCCGCATATCCTCCAAGTCTCGCAAACTCCCATCGGGCGAAAGTATTGAACTCTTCTTATCCCTACAGCAAGACCAGGCTCATGCAATTCGCGCAAAGCTCATCGAGGCGCTCGGCAATGAGACTACCAATAGCGTGAGAAATAAGATCGGAGACGCTGTAGCAGAGATCGCTAGAGAATATTCCGACGGAAGTGGGTGCTCCATAATTTGTTCATTCCTCGAGTTCGACTATTTTGCGGCCCTCTGATGCTGACAATAATATAGAGGAACAATGGCCGGAAATCTTGGGACTCCTTTCAGCTCTTAGTATTTCAAAGGAAATTGGACAGCGTGAGATTGCCTATCGCATATTTTCCACGACTCCAGGTATCATCGAAAAACAGCACGAGGATACAGTACTTTCTGCATTTACAAGGGGGTTCAAGGATGATGATGTTACAGTACGTTTTTGGAGTGTTATCATTCTGCTCCAGGATCATTACTGACCCATCGCAGGTTCGTTTGGCTGCAATGGAAGCTTTCGCTTCTTTCTTCCGCAGCATTCCTAAAAAGGCGCAAACAAAATATTACGCGCTTATACCTGAGGTGCTGAATATATTACCCCCAATCAAGGAAAGCCAGGAGTCCGAAGAACTATCCAGAGCTCTCATTTCGCTTATCGAACTGGCCGAGGTTGCACCAAAAATGTTTAAGCCACTATTCCACAACTTGGTGGCATTCAGCGTGTCAGTGATCCAGGACAAGGAGCTCGATAGTCAAGCACGACAAAATGCTCTTGAGCTTATGGCAACCTTTTCAGACTACGCACCAGCTATGTGCAAGAAGGACGAGACTTACACCACCGACATGATCACTCAGTGTTTAAGTTTAATGACTGACATTGGCATCGATGACGATGATGCAGCTGAATGGAATGCCTCGGAAGATGTAAGTGAAATTGGATTGTTATTACCCACAGACTAACAATATTAGATGGACCCTGATGAGACCGACATGAACCATGTTGCGGGAGAACAATGTATGGACAGACTTGCAAATAAGCTTGGGGGCTCGACAATTCTTGCACCAACATTTGCCTGGCTCCCAAGAATGATGAACTCGGATGCTTGGAGAGACAGACACGCAGCTTTGATGGCTATCTCGGCTATCTCCGAAGGTTGTAGAGATCTCATGGAGGGAGAGCTTACCCAAGTCCTGGAACTTGTTTGTCCAGCACTTCGAGACCCTCACCCTCGAGTTCGCTGGGCAGGGTGTAACGCACTTGGGCAGATGAGTACTGATTTTGCTGGTACCATGCAAACAAAGTACCACTCGGTCGTCGTCCCCGCCATCATTCCTGTACTCGACTCGCCCGAGCCAAGAGTTCAAGCCCATGCGGCAGCCGCTCTTGTCAACTTTTGCGAGGAGGCAGAAAAGGACATTTTGGAGCCATACCTCGATGATCTCCTCACGCACCTCTTCCAATTGCTCCAGAGTCAGAAGAGATACGTCCAGGAACAAGCATTGTCCACTATCGCTACCATTGCCGATTCTGCAGAGGCAGCATTCTCGAAATATTACGACACTTTGATGCCACTACTCTTTTCCGTACTACAGCAGGAGAACACCAAAGAGCTTCGGTTACTGAGAGCAAAAGCCATGGAATGTGCCACACTTATTGCTCTTGCTGTTGGAAAATCAAGACTTGGCAACGACGCCATGGCCCTGGTTCAACTACTAGCAACCATCCAGCAGAGCATTACGGACGCGGACGATCCGCAAGCCCAGTATCTCATGCACTGTTGGGGTCGCATGTGCAGAGTTTTGGCACTCGACTTTCTTCCTTTCCTCCCCAGTGTCATGCCTCCATTGCTGGAACTTGCTAGTGCCAAGGCTGACATTCAGCTTTTGGAAGATGAGGAACAAGTTGATCAAATCAATTCTGAGGAAGGTTGGGAGCTTGTGCCCCTCAAAGGCAAGGTTATCGGCATCAAGACAAGCACACTTGATGATAAACATATGGCCATCGAGCTTTTGGTTGTTTACGCACAGGTCTTGGAGGGTGCGTTTGCCCCTTACGTAGCCGAGGTAATGGAAAAGATTGCACTGCCTGGACTTGCATTCTTCTTCCATGACCCGGTTCGCGTGGTTTCGGCGAAGTGTGTTCCACAACTGTTGAATTCATACAAAAAGCAATTTGGAAGCCCTTCGAATGAGCTACTTGCGTTGTGGAATGTGACTATTGAAAAGTTACTTGAGGTCTTGAGCGCAGAGCCTGCTGTCGATACGCTTGCGGAAATGTACCAATGCTTCTACGAGTCTGTCGAGGTAATGGGCAAGGGCTGTCTCACACCTGCTCATATGGAAACTTTTATCGATTCTGCACACTCAGCTTTGGAGGACTACAAAGACCGAGTTGCGGCTAGAGCTGAGGAACGAGAGGAAGCCAACAAAGAAGACGGCGAGGAAGAATCAGAGGATACTCTCTTCGCCATCGAAGACGACCAAACACTTCTTTCGGATATGAACAAGGCATATCACTGCATCTTCAAGAACCACGGAGTTGCTTTCCTTCCCGCATGGGAACGACTACACGCAACATACGAGGCTTTTCTTAGGAGTGCCGACCCAACTCAACGACAATGGGGACTTTGTATCATGGATGATGTCCTCGAATTTTGTGGAGAACAAAGTTGGAAATATCAAGAAGCCATCATTACGCCACTTGTCAACGGGTGTCAAGATCCAGCACCAGCCAATCGACAAGCTGCTGCATATGGTATTGGTGTCGCTGCCCACAAGGGTGGTCCACAATGGTCGGCATTTTTGGGCCCTGCCATCGAGTTACTCTTCCGCGTCACCACGCTTCCCAACGCTCGAGGCGACGACGACGTGTATGCAACTGAAAATGCATGTGCCGCTATTGCCAAAATCCTCCACTACAACGCGTCGGCCATTCCCAATGCTCAGCAGGTTACGGTTCAATGGATTGACACATTGCCGGTAGTGAATGATGAGGAGGCAGCACCATATGCTTATGGCTATCTTGCCCAATTAATTGACCAGTAAGTTCTCCTTCTAGATACAGCCATATTTCACATTCGCTAAAGATGCAACAGGCAAGATCCAGCGGTCCTTTCACAGGCGCCGAAGATTTTCTTGTTCATTGCTCAGGCATTGGAGGCTGAGACCCTGCAGGGTCAAACGGCTTCGCGTCTGGTGGCGGCGGCCAAGATGCTTCTCGGAAACGCAGGTCTAGACCCTGCTGCTGTTCTGCAACAATTGCCACCTGAAACCCAGCAAACAGTCCGAGCATATTTTGGTTGAAGGTAATGAAGAGCTTCAGACCTTGGAATGATGATGGTCAGTTTATTGTGATTTTAAGAGAAAATTTAAGGGAATGGCGGGAGGGAAGGAAGGGACTGGGAGTGGGATGAAGAAGAATGATTAGATACCACATGCGCACGACCGGCCTTATGTTTTCGATGGGGGGAAGACCCGGTATGGGTCGGGCATGATTTAGCATAGCGCGAGAAGAGAGATTGGCACAGGAAGAGGTGAGCAAGAAGAGCGAGAGGAGCTGGTGGGTTGTGATGATGTTCGAGGACGATGATCCTGTCACACGGACGGTCTGTGGCCTCTGCTCTTGATACTAGA